TTTGCGCCGATTATGGGACATTTGTTTTAAGATCACGGCGCCTGTAATCCCAGCTACCTCGGGATGACAATAATCTAAAAGAGAGTGGCATGAAAGGCAGGCTGGGAGCACAGTGGGTCATGGCCTAATAAGTACCGAACTGTGTGTGTCTGTTGTGAAGGAATAGACAGCGCGAGGGAAGGTGGAGGTTGGCGGCACTCACCTGAATGGGTCAGGGAGTCTTCAAACCGCGAGTGAGCCCGAGAGACTCGTTCGCATTGACCACATTCCAGGCCCCGGGTGCCAACGAGAGCAGCGAAGGAACTCCAACAACAGAAAGAAAGATAAGGAAGGCAAAAGAGATCGTATAGGGAACTATAGGAAAACACGCGAAGAGTATAGACAGGTGGAGAACAGCTGAGTGGTGAGGAGGTAAGGGTGAGGGGAGGGGAGACAAGGCCAAGCGCGGTGGCTCATGCCTGTAATCCAGGCACTTTGAGAAAGCCGAGGCAGTGCGGATTCATTGACGGTAGGACGATCGAGTGATGAGCGGCTGGCGAACTATGGTGAGTGGTGAAACCCGGTGCTACTAAAAATACAACAAAAATTAACTGGGCATTGGCCTGGTCGCCTGCACATCCTTACGTCCTAGCTACTCTGGAGGCTGAGGCTAGATGAGAAATGCTTGAACCCGGGGAAGTCGGCAGGGCAGCTTTACTCTGACAGGGTGAAGCCTTAGATCGCACCACTGCACCCAGCGAGCTGGGCGGCGACAGAGCCAGCATCCGTCGTCGGAAAAAAAAGAAAGAAGGAAGGGAAGGAAGGAAAGGAAGGAGAGGAAGGAAGAACGGAAGGAAGAGGAAGGGAGAGGAGGAGGAAGGAAGGTTGCCAGGGAGGGAAACAGCGGAGGAGAGGGAGGGGAAAGAGAGAGACGGGAATGGAGAAGAGAGACGAAAGAAAAATGAAGAGATGGGAAGGAGGGAAGGAAGGAAGGAAAGTAAGGAAGGAAGGAAGGAAGAGAAAGAAAGAAAGAAAGAAAGAAAGAAAGAAGAGGAGACATAGAGACGCAGAAAGAGAGAATAAGTAAGAAAGGACGTCTGGGAAGGCAGAGTTGAGCTCATACAAAAAACCAACCAGAAAGAAAGAGCAAGAAAGAAAGCAAGAGAAGGAAGAATTTTTTTGGTAGAGACAGAGTCTCACTATCTTGCCCAGGCTGGTCTTGAACTCCTGGCCTCAAAGGATCCTCCTGCCTTGGCCTCCCAAAGTGTTGGGATTACAGGCGTGAGCCACTACGCTCAACCTACAAAGAGTTTATATATTAAAGTGAAATTTCTTATTAAATAGAAGATTTTTTACAAAAGCATTACAAGGTTCTTATTGGTTAAAATGGAAAAAAATTTTATTTTTGTTCATCTCCTGGTAGAATTGAAAAACCCTCCCTAAAGATGAACACTGCATGGCTTCTAAGGGCTACCAGCAGAAGTGAAATGGATTAAAAGACCCGAACGTGTCTTGGTTCTCTGTCCTGTGGCTCTGGGTTTTCTATTTTCATCTTCCTGGTTTGTGAAAAGTCCCGAGCTGAACCTTAGGTGTAGGAGTGCCCTGCTCATTGTGCAACCTTGCAAATAGCTGGGTTCTTCCAGAGAATGTTGTGAAATTTTCTTAAAGGCTGAAGGTGTCATGATTTTCTCCACACCTCTTGAAGAAGATGAGTTCAAATCGGATCTTGAGAAGTTTACTCTGATTCTCTAATATCTCATAGCCATAGTCTAAGTCAGAGAGAGGTATTGAATTCATTCATGAGTAGAAACAAATGACACATTTGCAGATTACATGACATGACATTTGAGTTTGATCCCATATGATCGTGTGGGGAGAAGGGTGTGGATGGGGTCATAGATGACAAAAGATTGGCCATGTGTTGATTATTGTTAACTTGGGCGGTAGTTCTTAGAAATGGATTGTACTGTTTTCCACTTTTGTATATGTTTGTTGTTTTCCATAATACAAAATAGTTTTAAAATCATTTGTTCTGACTGGGCACAGTGGCTAATGCCTGTAATACAGCACTTTGGGAAGCTGAGGTGGGTGGATCGCTTGAGCCCAGGAGTTCACGATACCGCAAGATCAGCCTGGGCAACATAGTGAGACTCTGTCTCTACAAAAATACAAAAATTACCCAGGCATGGTAGCCTGCATCTGTAGTCCCAGTAACTTGGGAGGCTGAAGTGGGAGGTTGGCTTGAGCCTAAAGAGGTGGAGGTTGCAATGAACTGAGATCACGCCATTGCACTCCAGCCTGGGTGACAGAGCCAGACCCTGTCTCAAATAAACCCACACACAAAAAAGAAAAAAAATCATTTGTTCATTAAGAATTTATTTATTGAGTAACTACTATGTGCCAGACACTGTCCTGGGTGCTTGCGATGCATTCGTGAACAAAGTTAAAAATCTCTTGCCTTGTAACTTATATTCTAGCTTGGAATGGGGTATGTAGAAGGAACGTGAATAGTAAACATGATGAGTTAGTGAATTTTATAGTGTGTTAGAAAGTGATAAGTGCTGTGGATTCCATTGAGAAGAGGATGGACAAGGGGACTAAGCCTGAGGCTTGGGGCTCCAACTTGGGAAAGAACCTACAGGAAGGCTGAATGAGAACAGTAGGAGAGGGAGCCACAGTGTATTAGGGAGTTGCTCAACACTGTGTACCTCCCTATTATACTTCCTTATTACTCAAAAATGTGACTGCAATTATGTCCATGAAAATCTATACAAGGCCAGGCATGGTGACTCACACCTGTAATCTCCGCACTTCGGGAGGTCGAGGTGGGCAGATCACCTGAGGTCAGGAATTCGAGACCAGCCTGGCGAACATGGTGAAACCCCACCTCTACTAAAAATTCAAAAATTAGCCAGCGCGTGGTGGCGCACCGCTGTAACCCCAGCTACTTGGGAGGCTGAGGCAGAAGAATAACTTGAACCCGGGAGGCGGAGCTTGCAGTGAGCCGAGATCGCGCCACTGCACTCCAGCCTGAGTGACAGAGCAAGACATTGTCTCAAAAAAAAAAAAAAAAAAAAAAGCTATTTGAATAGTTGATATAGGAGTGGAGAAAAGGAGGCCAGGCAAAGAAAATCTCACATTAGGATTACTGTAAGTATGCTAATTTAGCTGTTTCACTCTTAAATGTTAACTCTTTGAAGGCAAAGATTTGTTTATCTTTAGTTTTTTTTATTGTTGTTGTTGTTGTTGTGTTTTTTTTGAGATGGAGTCTCACTCTGTTGCCCAGGCTGGAGTGCAATGGAGCGATCTTGGCTCATTGCAACCTCCGCCTCCTGGGTTCAAGGGATTCTCCTGCCTCAGCCTTCTGATTAGCTGGGATTACAGGCACCTGCCACTACACCCAGCTAATTTTTGTATTTTTAGTAGAGAGAAGGTTTCACCATGTTAGTCAGGCTAGTCTTGAACTCCTGACCTCAGGTGATCCGCCCCCGCTCGATCTCCCAAAGTGTTGGGATTACAGGTGTGAGCCACTGCACCTGGTCTTATCTTTAGATTTCTATCTCGGCTGGATACCTGGCCTAATAGAGTAGTTACATATTTGCTGAGTGAATGAGTGAAAAACGCATGGAGAGTTGGAGTGAAGCTGGGACCTGCCATGCTGGGACCATCCAGCACTCCCAATCATAATTCAGTTGCAGATGTTGGAGCTCATAAACCGATACCGCAAAATACAGTGCCTTGGGATACCCAACTGCAGAAGCCTAAAGATCTCTTTGATCTCCCCGACAAGGTCTCTTCCGAAGAAGTTGAAGTCTTTTGTCTGCCTAAGATCTAGACCCACCAAGGGGAACTATTGTTTTTTCTTCCCTCCTTGTAAGAGTAAGAATGTAAACACACTTGAATAGACCCTCTCACAGTCAAAGAGAACTACTTACAAATTAATCTCAGTTCCTGATTCTTTATTGTCCTTCAGCGGAATTCCTCTTCTTCCTCCTCCCATAACCTGTTTAGCCAGGCTGGTATATTAAAGGGGGCCAGCCCTTCCATACCTGTTGGTATTTCTCGTCAGGTGGGATGAGAGAGTGGGAAAGGAAATAAGACACAGAGACAAAGTATAGAGAAAGAACAGTGGGCCCAGGGGACCGGCGCTCAGCATACGGAGGACCCCTGCCGGCACTGGTCTCTGAGTTCCCTCAGTATTTGTTGATCACTATCTTTATCATCTCCGCGAGGAGGATGTGGCAGGACTACAGGGTAATGGTGGGGAGTGGATCAGCAGGAAAACATGTGAGCAAAGGACTCTGTGTCATAAATAAGTTTAAGGAAAGGTGCTGTGCCTCTGGAGGTGAACCATATGCGTGGCAATACGGCTCTTTTTTTTTTTTTTTTTTTTGAGAACGGAGTCCGCTCTCGCCCTAGTCTGGAGTGCAGTGGCGCGATCCCTCAGCTCCACTGCAACTCCCTCCTGGTTTACGCCATTCTCCCTGCCTCAGCCTCATATAGCTGGACTACAGTCGCCGCCACCTCGCCGGCCAGTTTTTGTATTTTTAAGTAGAGGACGGAGTTTCACGTGTTAGCCAGGAGGCTCGATCCCGACCCTCGTGATCCCACCCGTCCCGGCCTCCCAAGTGCTGTGATTACAGGCTGAAGCAACCGCGCCAGGCAATACTGCTCCTTACTGCACGAGATGTTGTGAAAGTCCAAACATAAACTGGCCTAAATTGCACACAGGCCACAGCACCTTCCTTAAACCTATGCTAGACACAGACGTTCCTTTGCCACATGTTTTCCCGCTATCCACGTCCCACCAAGTTTACCCTGAGTCCTGCCACCTCCGTCCTCCGCTGAGATGTCAAAAGAAAGTGATCAATAAATACCCCTGAGGAACTCCGAGACAGTGCCTGGCAGGGTCTCCGTATGCGAGCGCCGG